GGAGAGAAAATTTTTGAAATTCGCCCCCTTTTTCCGCAATCTTTGGGCGTCCATAGGATGGATCTCTCATCCCTTTAATAATATCATTTATATTGTTGTATCTTATTAATGTATGTATTCACCTGCCTAGGCGACAAAAATGACAAGGCGAGCGCCTTTTATAATATCATTTATATTGTTGTATCTTATTAATGTATGTGTTCATACATTTTATTATATGCTATATAGATATATATATGAATTATATTTTGAGAAGAGAAGAGAAAAAGAAAGAAAAGAAAGGTGAAAGAAACAATAAAATAATAAAGTTCTTTTTTCTATTTTCTCTCTAATTAAATAAAACAGAAACTCCATCCTTGTTTTTTTTTCTATTTTTCTTTCCATCTTGAATATTTATCATATAAAGTTAAGAACCTTCTTTATCTGCTTATTAATATGAATTTGCTCTATTAAATACTTATTATAGCAACATTATTTTTGAAAATAATGAAATTAATATATGTAAAAGATTTTTATCTTTTAGATGTGATGATTTGCCACATTTTTAGAGGAACTTTAATGTTCTTAAAAAAGACAATTGTTATTTTTCAATTAACATACATATTGAATGGTATATAAAACTAGGAAACTAGGCAAAAGCCAATTTTTCATATTATAAAATTTTTATCGCCTAGGTGACTAGGCAACTAGGCGCCCCAGAATCGCCTAGATGCCTTAAAAACTATGATTCTATATTGGTGAATGGAACTGTGGTTGACTTCTTTCCTGCTTCGAGAGGTATAAGACAATGAAACCCACTCTCCCTTTTTATTTTCACTCTAATTGCTGATGTACTTGGGAGATTGATCCATAGAGTAGACTTGAGGAATTTGATAAAAGGGTGGAGAGTAGGAAGGGAGGAGGTTCTTCTAACATATCTACAGTTTACAGATGACACAATTTTGTTTTGTGAAGGAGGAGACATAAATTGGATCCGGAACTTAAAATTGGCAATACAACTCTTTGAACATATATCTAACCTCAATGTGAACTTTGATAAGAGTTGTGTGGTGGGAGTGAATGTGGAGGAACGGGAGTTAAGGGAATATGCAAATGAGTTAAGTTGTGCAATCTCGGATTGGCCCTTGACATACTTGGGCCTCTCTTTAGGAGATAATCCTAAGAATATAAGTTTCTGGAATCTGGTAGTGGAGAGGTTTGAGAAGAGGCATGTCTTGGAAGAGAAATTATCTTTCCTTAGGCGGGAGAGTCACTCTGATTAGGTATACCCTAACTAACCTACATGTCTACTATCTGTTAGCATTTAAGATCCCTTCTAAGGTCTCCAATTTCTTGGAAAAATTAATAAGGAATTTTCTGTGCGAGCCTAGAGAGGAGAAGATATATCATAGGGTGAGTTGGGAGGTGGTAATTAGATGTAAAAAACTAGGAGGCCTTGGGATTGGTAACATCAAGAAAATGGTTGTGAAGGTTTACAACTAAAAGGGAGAAATTGTGGACTAAGATTATGGCTAACATACATGGGCTGGAAGACAATCACTGTGATCCTGGAATCGTGGCAAGGGCTACAGCTGCTTCTCCTTGGAAATCCATTCACAATCTGCTTCCAGTTTTTCCCTTTGGATCAGGTATGGTCTAAACTCTGGTAGCCGAATAAAGTTCTGGGAACAACTTTGGCTTGGGGATTCACCTCTGAAGAACCAATTTCCCTCCCTGTACGCACTACCAAACTTGAAAAATGAACCTATCTCTTCTTTCTTGGGTCCTTCAGACTCTACTTCTAGTTTTGGGTGAAATCTAGGCCTGCGAAGGGCAATTAGGGATACAGACCTGGATAGCATTTTACCATTGCTAGCCATCCTTGAGAATGTTTTCCTAGACCCTAATAAGGAAGACACCAGAATTTGGACCCCTTCCTCCTCAGGTATTTTCTCTTGTGCTTTGTTCTTTGAAACCTTAATTCAGCCTTCTGCCCCTATTAGGTTGTCCTTTCCAGCTAAGGAAATTTGGAGCAAGCCTATTCCTCCTCGAATTGGTTTTTTTTGTTGGGAATTTTTCCTATAAAGAATAAACACAAATGACTTACTTCAGAGGAAGAGACCCAACTATTGTCTACTTCCTAATAGATGTTCTCTTTGTAAAGCTGATGGGAATCTGGTTACCACCTCATGGTCTCTTGTAAGGTTACTAAAATTGTATGGGAGTGGGTTTTTTGCCGCTTTGGGTGTTCTTGAAATCCTCCTGAGAGTGTTCAAAAATTGTTCTCTCCTTCATTTTTCAGATGGCCTAAGAAGCGAGGGAAGATTATGTGGAGTATTAGGGCAGCCGTGTGTTGGTCCCTGTGGAAAGAAAGAAATTCACGTATTTTTTCAAACAAGGAAAGAACCATGAAAGAATTGTTAGACCTAATACTATCAAGGGCTGCCCACTAGCTAAAATCTATGGAATTGTTTTCACTTTTCGGTGGTTGACTTGTTAAGAAATTGGGAAAAGGCAATTACCATTTTTCAGTGCAAGAGGACTCTTAGTCCCTCTTGGCACCCTCCTCCCTCTGGATTTATAAAATTGAATTTTGATGGCAGTAGTGTAAGGAATTTAGGGCCCTCTGAGACTGGAGGAGTTTTTAGGAATGAAGGGATTGTTATTGTTTTGTTCTCTGGCCCTATTGGAGAAGGTGACTCTCTTAGGGCTGAGATCCATGCAGCGCTGGAAGGAAATCAAAGAGCAAAGGAATTAAATATCAGTCGGTTGATCCTGGAAGGTGATTCGAAGGTGGTGGTTAGTTGGTTGAAGAAAGAGGACAGTGGATTGTGAAGCTACAACAATGAAAAGAAAAAGTTTTTATGGCTGTGTAGGGACATTGAGATACAATACAGCTAAGGGAAGAGGAATGCCAACTCATTTGCGGATGGATTGGCCAAGCAAGGGGTGAATAGGGAGTCGATCTTTTGGGCTAATTTTTAATTTTCTTCCATTGTATTCTGTTAATGGGGAGCTAAGACATTTTATCTCCCCTTTTGTATCTAAAGTTTCACAATTTTCATATAATTAATGAAGCTGTTGTTATTGTTGATCAAAAAAAATCCAAAGGAGTTTCAGGCTTTCAGCTGTCAAAAATGGCATTTTAATTTCAAAGAAATCATCTGGAAAATTTTGTAGGATGCTACCTTTTTTATAACTTCATGTAAGGGGCTTCTGATTTTACAAATGACTCAGGCAGAATATATGATAGAAAATGATCTATAAAAACTCGGAATCTGTAATGGGTTTCTTTTTTTCATAAACTGAGCAACATATGCAAATCACAACATATTTTTCCTTCCCCCATTATTAACAATTTGATACTTTGTTTCTGCCTCCCTTCAAACAAATACTGCTCCAGAACATAATTTTGAAACTATAGATCTAGCCCTTTTGAGCCCAACCATAAAATTCAAAAAAAGAAAAAAGAAACTTCGCATCTAGGAATTTGAGATTCAGGAGATATGGTACTAACTTAGCATTAGAAATTTATGAATTACCATTTAAGGGTCATCAAGTAGAAGTTAACAAAAACAAAGTGTCCAATGAGCATACCTGCAGAAAAGTAAATAGGGATATCAAGATTCATACGCTCCCAATAATCATCCAACAGTATACAGAGCTCCTACTCCACAAGAGAAAAGATTGTCAAAACTATTACCATGCAGCCACTATATTGGAAGATGCAATCAAATCTCCACCCACCCACCCCCAAGGAAAAAGAAACAATTTAAAAAATAGTGGAAACATCTCCCAGCTAAGCTATTGATGAATTAAGAGAAGTAAATTAGATACACTAATATATCCTAAACATGAAAACAATTCATATACATGTTTTTTGTACACAGATCTTCACTCATTAAATTCAAAACCTCTGATAGGAAAATCTTATTGCAGTCTCAACTCAACCCTGGTAGAGGCTGGGCAGAAGACACTTGTAAGAACATGCAGTACAAAATTCTATTTCTCAGTGTTCTATAAGGCGTGGGAGGCGTATGCCTGGAGGTGAGCCTCCAGGTGAGGTGCTCCCAAAATGCCCTGAGGCGTATGCCAAAGGCGCTGACACCTCAGGTGCAAGAGGCTTTTTCAAAACTTCAAAAGGATTGAGACAAGGATATCCAATTTCCCTAATAGTATTCATCCTTTTTTTGACATTTCAAATTGTTGAGGAGAAAAAATGAAAAAGGTTATGTTTAAGAGTTCTAGGTTGGGAAGAGACGGAGTTGATCCAAATTTGCAATTTTCTAATGAAATTGTTGTTTTGGAGGAATCCAGGGTACCCAAGAGGTCAGAACATTGAAAATGTTCTTCAAATTGGTTGAACTGGTTTTTAGATTGAAAATTAGGGGTCATTTGATAACAATTTAAGTGACAATTGAATGATTTATTGCTTTGTTTGTTAGTGGATAAATTAATTAATTAAACATTTGAGTGCATAGTAATCAGCCCAACTTCAGTTTCAGCCATTAGTTAAGCCATGTTTGTGCTGTTCAGCCGAACTGAGAAAAGAGAAAGAAGAGAAGAGAAGAAGAAGAGGAAGGAGAAGAAGAATAGTGTTGAACTGAGAAGACTCTTCATCTAACCCAGTCGACCATGTTTAAACATTACAAAAATAAAAATTACAAGGGCTGAAATGCCCCTGCATATGAGGAGACATACAGCTAACACCTTACTTGAGGGAAAAGACCAAAATACCCCTCTTTAGTCGACTCTAACACTCCCCCTCAAGATGAAGAGTATATATCATATATTCCCAGCTTGTTACATATATAGCTCACTCTTCCCGAACTCAACCATTTAGTGAACAGATCTGCCCATTGATCACCTATTCTCACATGCTCAGTACTTATTTCACCATTAATGACCTTTTCCCTTACAAAGTGGCAATCTACCTCTATCTGTTTAATTCTCTCATGAAAAACTAGGTTGGATGAGATGCGAATTGCAGATTGGTTGTCACAGTATAGCTTCATGGGTTTGCTTATTGAAAACCCAATTTCCTGCAATAGATTCTTCAACCATACTAGCTCACATGTAGTATGTGCCATGGCCCTGTATTCTACTTCTGCACTACTCCTTGCTACAACAGCCTACTTCTTGCTCTTCCATGTCACTAGATTTCCTCCCAAAAAGGTGCAATAACCTGTAGTGGATCTCCTGCCTGATACAGAGCCAGCCCAATCTACGTCAGTGTATCCAACTACTTCAAGATCACCTCCTGGCTTGTATAGTAACCCACGACCTAGGGGGCCCTTCAAATACCACACAATTCTAAGAACTGCATCCCAGTGAGGCACCCGAGGGTTCTGCATAAACTAGCTTACCACACTGACAGCAAAAGAGATGTCAGGTATAGTGATAGATAATTCAATTTTCCCACTAGCCTTCTATACCTTCCAAGATTATCAAACAATTCACTCGTGTCACTTCCCAACTTCACATTCAGTTCCATGGGAGTTTCAACTAGTTTAGCACCTAGCAACCCTGTTTCTTCCAACACGTCAAGAACATATTTCCGCTGACAAAGGTTGATGCCCTCCTTTGATCTAGCAACTTCTATACCCAAAAAATACTTCAGCTTCCCAATATCTTTTGTTTTAAAGTGATTTTTTAGTAATGTCTTCAATCTATCAATCCCAATTCTATCACTACCAATTATGATTATGTCATCCACATACACTACCAGCAAGATTTCCCGGCCACAGAGTCATAACTAAATACTGAATGGCCAACTTGACATTGTCTCATTCCAAACTTCACCACTTCATTGAATTTGCCAAACCAAGAACGGGGAGACTGTTTGAGCCCATAGATCGCCTTCTTGAGCTTACACACCTTATCATCTTCCCCCTGAGCAACAAACCCCGGTGGTTGCTCCGTGTACACTTCCTCTAGAAGATCACCATGGATGAACGCATTTTTAACATCAAGCTGAAAGAGAAGCCAATCATGCAGTGCAACTAAGGAAATCAGCACAAGTACTAAGCCAATCTTTGCAATTAGAGAAAAGGTTTCGACATAGTCTACACCATAAAGTTGAGAGTACCCTTTTGCAACTAAACGGGCTTTCAACCATTCCACTCTCACATCTAGTAGATACTTAACAGTATACACCCACTTACAACCAATAACATGTTTACCTCGGGGAAGATTGGTGAGCTCCTATATATGATTGTGATGAAGAGCAGAGAGTTCTTCTTCCGTAGCTTTTCGCCACCCTAGTGAGGTAAGAACCTCCTAAACATCCTTAGGTGTGGATACAGAAGATAACAAAGTAATAAACTCATGATGGGAAGCAAAGAGGTGAGATACAGAAACATAATAGGATATAGGATGTAGTGTGCAACTGCATTTACCTTTCTGCACTACAATAGGAAAGTCAAGATCAGAAGGCAATTCAGTTGTGGAAAGAAATGGATCAGCCACCGGAGTAGAAAGTAATGGAGGTGGTGGCCTCTGTCAATGAGTATACACTTGATGAATTGGTGGTCTTTCAATACGCTCCTGCATTGGAAAAGGTGTAGACTCAAGCATAATGGCAACCACCGGGATGGAATTATCAATTGGAAGAGGAAGAGGAACCTCTGTAAAAGGAGAAGAGATATCAGAAGGAGAGAAGTATGGCATCAATTCGAAAAACGTAACATCAGGACGCACAAAGGATTTTCGAATAACAGGGTTGTAGCATTTATAACCTTTCTGGGTCCTAGAATAGCCAAGGAAGATACATTTAATGGAACGAGCATCCAACTTGTCGAGTCCAGGACCAAGATTCTAAACAAAGCACACACCTGAAGATCCTAGGAGTCGGAGGATATAGAGACAAAGTGGGAAATAAGATAAAGAACGGAGAACGACCATTCAGAATAAATGAGGGCATGCAATTAATGAGAAAACAAGCAGTCAGGACTGCATCACTCTAGAAACGTTTAGGAACATTCATATGATGGAGAGACCGAGTTGTTTCAAGTATATATCGGTTCTTCTTCTTCCTCTCAGTCACCCCATTTTGCTAAGGGGTGTGAGCACAAGATGTCTAATGAATAATATCATGTTGTTCCAAGTATTACTAGAATGAAGAAAGAAAATACTCTTTGCCATTGTCAGAATGAAGAATTTTAAGTGAAACACCAAATTGTGTATGCACTTCAGCATAGAACTTTTGGAAAACGAAACATAATTCACTTGTTTTTTTTCATTAAATAAAGCTATGTCATTCTTGAATAGTCATCAACAAAGATAACAAAATATTTGTAACCATTATAGGACTCAATTCTGATTGGACCCCACACATCTGAATTAACTAAATTAGAAGGACTCAACATACGACTATCAACTCTAGGACTGAAGGAAACCCGATGGTGTTTCCCATACTAACACGACTCACACTATAAAGATGAAAGACAACTCAATGACGGTACAAGAAGCTTGAGAGCTTTAAGAGATGGATAGTCAAGTCTACAATGCCACTAAAGAGGAGTCAAAGAGGTTTGAAGTGCAACCGTAGATCCACCACCATCAAGATAATACAATCCGCTAGCTTCATGCCCTCCACCAAACTTTTTCCCCATCATTAGATCCAGAAAAACACAAGAGAAAGGGTAAAATGTGATATAACAATTGAGGGATTTGGTTAGTTTACTAATAGGCATAAGATTGAAAGGAAACTTGGGAACATATAAAACAGAAGTCAAAGAAAGAGATGTTGTGTTAACATTACCAACACCATAGATGGGGGAAGTAGATCCATTGGCAAGGGTAACATTATTTGATGTAGAGGTTGGAGAAAGGGAGGAAAACACACCTGGAGTCCCGATCATGTGATCAGAGGTTCCAGTCAATTAACCAGGGTGAAGGTTTGGATGCTAGGAAAGCTATACCTAAATGAGCAAGGGTGGCAGTATTCTGATGTGAGGTGGCCTGAAGAAAACTCTCATACTCCTCTCTTGGAATAATCATCATCTCCTTCCCAAAAGTAGTAGTGATTGTAGAGGACACTGGATCAACTGGTTGAATATCACTGACTTCACTACCACCAACGGCTACATGATTAGCCCATGTTGATGGTGGGCCATGCAAATCATAGCAGAAGTTAACAGTGTGTCCTTCTCTCCCACAATGTGTGCATTTTCTAGTACTGCTCCCCCTTCCTCTACCACGGCCTCCCCCTGAATCACGACTTCCTCCACTACCACGACCACTCATAAGGTTACCATGGCCTCCCTAAACTATACGACCACCTCCTCTGTGTCCATAAGAACCACCTCGAGTGCCAATCACACACATGGTGACAGCAGTCCACAAAAAAAAAAACCTTTTTTTTTTTCTGTTCACTCGACTGTTGTATTCTTTCCTTGTCACCAAAAGTCAAGCCTCTGAAACCCTAGAGGTTGCCACAGGAATCTGGGTTGTGTCGCAGTCTTCTACCCCAGATTTCTCACACTAGTAATGAAATGGGAAATTTTCAGAATTAAAGAGGTGGGATTGGTGTTGGGAAGGTTAAAAGACAATAATATTGACCTTTTGAGGAAATACTTGTGGAGATTCCATATTGAAATGACCTCACGATAACATTTGGTGATCAAAAGTATACATGTCTTTAAACAAATTTGATGGGGACTACGGACTGAATAGAGATGTCATTCTTAGGTGCTCATGGAAGGACACTAGTTCTTTTTTCCCTACTCTTCCAAGGCATATTAGGTATGACTCCACTATGGGGTCTAGGGTGAAATTTTGAAAGGTCTGTGGTGGGTGGGGGTGGGGGGAGGAACCTTTTATGTTAAACATTTGCTAGAGCTTTTGCCATATCTAGTCACAAAACAAATCCACCTTTGAGTTGACACCCTTTCGACCTCGTGGTGCCTCCTAAGATTGGGTTTGAGAAGGGAGTTGATAAATTCAGAAATTGCAAAAACAAAAAACCTTTTAGAAAACATCAAAAGTGTCTTCCTTACTCTATATGGAAAAGGTAGGGAAGTTGGTATCTTTATTCTAGGTGTTATTCCACTTGTGCTTTATTTTTTAAAACACTCTATCACCAATCCTTCAGCCCAACCTCCTCTGAATTTTGTTCGGGAGGGTCTCCCTCCTCCAAAGGTCAAAGCTGTTTGTTGGAGGTTGCTCTACAAGTTATTAACAAGTTACAAGATGCTCCAACAAAGTAGGAAGAAGTGGTCTTTATCCCTTCATGTTTGTCTTGCTAGATTGCATCAAAAGTATGGAACCATTTTTTGCCAGTATGGAACCACTTTATCCCTTCATGTTACAAGATGCCACAATCTAATGCTTGGTAATTTTTCATATTAAATATGCTTCCTTGTCAAACAAGGAGACCACACATAATGTGGCATTTCACTAGAGTTGACATAATATGGCCTTTATTGGGTGAAAGGAATACAAGAATTTTAAAAACATGAAACAAAGTGCATATGACCTGATAGAGCTCATCGTGGTATGTCACATATGTCATCTAGCAAAAACTTCAAGGGAGTCACTGCAAGCAATTTGATAAGATAGCAGATAACTGTCACAATTTCTCTTAACATAAAGGAAAGAAATGTGGAATAGAAGGATCCAGAGAAAGGCAGACAAAAGTTAACTTTGACGGTTGCAGCCCAGGGAACCCTAGTGCTTCAGGGATTGAAGAAGTGATTAGAGACTGACAAGTAGTGACAAACTGGATGATATTGGGGAAAAGGATGCTATGAATAGTAGCAATCTCCAGCATCAACCCAAATTGCTCATTCAGGTGGATTCATAGAGCTGCAAACACGTTGACAGACTCTCTAGCAAATAGCAAGAGTAGGGATTGCAAAGGAAAACTTCATATAGAGTAAATAGGGGCCAGGAGGAGAATTGTAAAGAGAAAAATAATGAGAAAAGGCAGCTATCTATTACCTTCAATTATAGGTAGCATGGTACTATTGTTTATTTTATTCTGTCAACAGAATACTTTACTGTTGACTATCAAAAAACTAGGGGTGTTTTTGGGTACCAAACTACCTTAGTAGCCAACATGAACTGCTATAGATTATTGGAGATCTGAATCTAATATTTTGCACACCAACCGATGATTGGATTAGATTTGTATCTCAAATTCATAATTTAAACCATTTAGGAGATGCTAGAGATGCCCAACTGGTTTCTTGGATCAAAAGGCAGGTTCAGACGATCAATAAGGGTTCAATCAACTTTGACAAGTTTCCAAACCCACTTATATTTCACAATAAATGCAACACATGAATATGCAAAGGACCCATAAAATAACAGTGAAGGATTCAAAAACATGTATCCTATATCAAGGAATAACCAGGTGCCACAGTTCTACTGGTAAGAAATTCAAATACCAATGCGAAGATACAAAATAATCCAAAATCAAGAGTAAAGAATGAGAAATTCAACAAAATAAGATTTTATGAGTATCACCTGGGCCCTTCCCAGAGCAAATGTTGGAATTAGTACTTTTCCTCCACCAGCAACACACTTATGAACCTAAAAAACAGTATGTCAGAAATTATTTCCCAGTTATATACAAGAGAAAAATCATAAGAGAGTAGCTACAAAAATAGGTATGTGAAACAAGTTGTCAACATAAAATCCCAAGGACATAATGTACTTCTTTAAATTAAATTTAACTGTTAGCCATTCACATACAAGTTTGCATGAATCATGTTAGAAATATTATTAAGTTAAAGTAGGATTTATTTTTTATTTTGAAGCAAACCGAACCTTTGTTCCTTTTTATATTTCTTTGTAGATCCAAAAATCAAGAATAATGGATTAATTGCAATTACAAATTGTCAGAAAATACTGGAATAGAGACTGGAAAATTTTAATTCAACATTTATTCTGTCGGGCTTGATTGTCTTAGCGGTCATTTGAATTAGGATTATTGTTAGATAAACTCCATTGCTGATATTGATCCCAAAAAWATACATTTAATACAGAAATCTTCAAAAAATATCGTTACCATATGGAGGTCTTCTAGACACCTCATTTTGCCCCTAGCTAACCTTGCTGTATTAGGAAAGATTGCTGGTTTAGGCACTTACAACTTACGGACAAATTAACCATTTCTAGTAAAATTGAATAATTGAGGACAAGTGGTTATGGACTGGATGATGGGAGATAGAAAGTTCCTTTGGTCCCTAGGATAGTCAACACCCTTGCAGGTTTTATTACTAGAAATGGTGTAAAAAGGCAGGATTCATTTGAAGGATTCCAGGGCAGGGGCACATGCAGAATTGATTCTGTTTGTTAAATTTCCCTTTAGGTTATGGTCAGTTATGAGTTATACAACCCTCTTGGTTCTATACTGCAATGTATTTGTCACCTGCTAATTAATTCTTATTATTGGGTTCCCCTAGAACTTTATTTAATAAAATCTCTTTGGTCAGTCTTAATGAAAAAATAGGAAAGATAAAGATAGTTGGCATCTTGGCAAGGCTGAATCACTGCAAGGCAAACAGAAGAACTGAAACGTAGAATACAATATTATTATTGAGAGTTGTCATAGAGGGTTATTGTTCACTTACAGCTTTAAGAAATTCCCTTTCACGAGCATATTTTGAATCACGTATAGTGGTTGCATATGTTGATCTGCAATAAAGGTTGTTAGGAACAAATAGGAAGTTCAATAAAAAATAAAGCAGATCCACAAAGGAAACTAATAATGATAATAGTCAAGGATGCAAGCTGGAGCCCAATATTTTGAAAAAGGAGGATCAAGAATAAGAGATGAGGGTGAGCAGACTGAATCCTGCCCGGCCGTTTGAAGGGGCCACAGAAAATTTAGAGAGATTATAATTTACAAGAGCAATGCCACCCATGCCTTCATCCTCACAAATTCCTTGAACATCCAAAAGGGCCAATGCACCAGGCAATAGCCTCTACAACCTCCCTCAACACCCAAAATAATAGAACAAACCAGAATGACTCTAATCAACAAAGGATGAATCGGGGTTTGTAAAGTGGCCATTTATAAAATCTTTCCCTGAAATTGGGGCAAATTAAATCAACACCATATTCTATAATAGGAGTTGTACTGAGCAATTCCAGGGTGCAACCTCTAAAAACAATGCATAAATTAACTTTTTAAGATATACAATATGCCCCTTACTCAGTTATGAGGAGGTCTATCTGTAGTCGATCAATTTGGGCTGCTCCAAGATGTCTATCAGGTGTCATATTATAATCCCCTGTGTAGACAATAGCACTATCTCCAACTTTTGCATAAAACATCGCTGCCCCAAGAACCTTGAAAACATAGCTTGTGATAAGTGCAGGCCAAGAAGAGGATAAAAAATATTTAGTATACCATATATTTAAAGACAACAATACAAAGATAGAGCTTGATGGAAAGTTAAAAAGGGGGAAAGGTGATTTACAACGGAGACACTAAAAGAAGCAGCAAAAGAAAAGAAAATTATGTTACACTACTCATGAAGCAAATCAAACAACAATAACACAGCACGTGCTAAACGCAGGCCAACAAGATGGAGAGAAATATAGAATATACCAGGTGTGTTAAGAGAAATTTACAAAGGTATAATTTGACAGAAGGTGAAGATGAAGGGGAAAAGGTGATTTACAGTGGAGACTCTAAAAGAAGCAGCAAAAATAAAGATTATGTTATCCTACTCATGAAGTAAATCAAACAACAAATAAAAGAACTTTGAATTAAAGAGTCATTCTTTTTTCTGCTAACTTTGCATTTCCAAACACAAATTATATGTCTAGCTTCATCACTCACTTTGCCTTGTTAAATGCAATTTGGTAAACAGTAGTATCATGCAGAAAGCTCATGCCAAATTAGGCACCAAAATCTCCAGGTAATATCATATCTAGCTTCCTATTTATTTAAAAAAAAAAAGAATAAGCAACAAAATGGAGAAAGACCAAATGCAATTATATAAACAAATCTAGTTGTAATATGATGAAATTCAAAATGCCTAGCTAAAAAAGGGAAGTGGAAGCATTGAGGTGCTTCACTTGCTGATAGATGTTTATTGTGTAACATATTTTGTTGTTAAAATATGTGTTTAATTATTGTAGGCTCACCTCTCTGTGTTTAATTATTGTTTGGTTAAAATCGAAAAACCGAAGCGAAATTTTCAGTTTTGGTTTAATTGGTTTGGTTTTTTCGGTTCAATAAATTCGGTTTGAAAAATTTTCAGTTTCGGTTTCGGTTTTCAGGATTGGAAATTTGGTTAACTGAAAAAACTAAATTAACCAAAATTTATTATATACATAATATAATATATATATATTATTAAAATGTAAAACATAATATATTATAATATGTATATAATATATATTATATAAAATACATTAACATATACATATACATAAATATACATAAATATATTAATATATATAATATATAATATGTATTAGTATAATAATAATAAAATTTGGTTTTAACCGAAAATTTCAGCTTCGATTTTTTCGGTTTTTATAATTTGGTTTCAGTGAACCGAATAAACCGAATGCTCACCCATATCTAGATCCACCTCACAATACCTCAAATATTTCTTGTACCACTTCCTTTTATTATGTATTGATAAACCTCTCTATAGATAAAAATTTGTCACTAATGTAAGTTACAAGGCTTAGCAGGATGCAAAGCTAAGCTTAAGGCTTATAATGGCACATCTAAATTAGTTAATGAGAGAATTTGAGAGAAAAAATGGATTGATTGTATTGTCTTGGAAGGAGCATATACACAACTTTATATAGAATTACAGAGCTAACTTACAGGGCGATAAAATAGGAAACTAACTTTTCCAAGAAAACTAATTTCTATATCAGTGGGATTCTCAAATTAATATCCCATGATTCTAGGAAACTAACTTATGTATGTTTCCTAAATTGATGGACCTAAAACTATGGAGAATCAATCAAAGAGTAAATCTTCTACTTTCCAACACTCCCCCTCAAGCTGGTGAATATGCATCTTTCATTCCCAGCTTGGAGATAAGTCCTTGGAATGCCACACTGCAAAGCCCTTTTGTCAGCACATCTGCCAGTTGACCATTCATTGAGACGTATGGAGTGCAAATTAATCTGTTATCCAGCTTTTCCTTTATGAAATGCCTATCTATCTCAATGTGCTTTGTCCTGTCATGTTGGACGGGATTGTGAGCAATGGTAATAGCTGACTTGTTGTCGCAAAATAATCTCATTGGACCTTCCCATCTAATCTTTAGGTCTACCAAAATTATCTTGAGCCATAGTAATTCACATACTCCCTGAGCCATTGCCCTGAATTCTGCCTCCGCACTTGATCTAGCTACCACATTCTDCTTCTTACTCCTCCATGTCACAAGATTTCCTCCAAGGAATGTACAGTAACCTATAGTGGACCACCTATCCACAGGAGAGCCTACATAATCTGCATCGGTGTATGCCTCTAGGGCTAATCCAGTATTTCTTTTAAACAAGATTCCTTTGCCAGGATTAGCCTTTAGATAATGTAGTATCCTATAGACCGCCTGTAGGTGAACCTCTTTCGGGTTGTGCATAAACTGGCTAACCATGCTCACGGCATATGCTATGTCTAGCCTTGTGTGGGCAAGATATATAAATTTTCCTACTAATCTTTGGTACATTTCCCTATTCACGGCTGGATCTTCATTTTCTTATCCCAATTTGTGATTTGGCTCAACCAGTGTCGATGATGGTTTGCATGCTAACTTTCCTGTCTCTCTTAAAAGATCTGTTACATATTTCTGTTGTGAGATAAAGATGCCTTCTCTAGAATGAGCTACTTCAATCTCCCAAGTTCTTTTATTTCAAATTCTCTGACTAGGCAACTTCTCAAGGCTTCCTTCTCCTTTTCATCATTTCCTGTCACAATTGTCATCGACATATACCAAAAGAGCCGTGACTCCCCCTGGATCTAAATGCTTTATAAAGAGTGTATGATCTCCCTGATTTTGTTTGTATCCGATGGCAAGCATAACTTTAGTAAATCTTCCAAACCACGCCCTAGGTGATTGCTTGAGACCATATAGTGCTTTCTTCAACCTACAAACTTTATTTCCTTTTAGATTTCCTTTGAAGCTCGGAGGAATATCCATGTATATCTCCTCCTCTAAATTACCGTGAAGAAAAGCATTCTTTACATCAAATTGCTCAAAGTACTAGTCGAAGTTAGCTGCTAGTGACAACAAAATYCTTACCGTATTCATCTTAGCCACTGGAGTGAATGTCTCTTGATATTCAACACCATAGATATGTGTATATCCCTTTGTCACGAGTCTTGCCTTGTATCTTTCTAGAGAGACATCTGACTTGTACTTTACTGTGAAAACCCACTTGCAGCCCACGGGTTTCTTTCCTAGTGGTAGGTCAACAATTACCCATGTTTGATTCTTATCTAGAACCTGCATCTCTTCTCTCATAGCATCTTTCCATTTCTCATCAGATAATGCCTCAGATAAAGTATTAGGAATATGAATGGTGTTTAGACTAACTAGGAAACTCYTATRTGATRGKGAGAATTTTTTAAAGGACACAAAATTTGCTAAGGGATATAAGGGATGTTTAGTGCATTCTCTTGTGCCTTTCCTAAGGCAATAGGAAGATCTTGGTCAGATG